GCTGGGCTGGGAAGGCTGGACCAGGGGCCTCCTGCTCACTTCTGCCTTTGGGAGTTGATGACATCCTCCTGCAGAGGTGCTCTGATCCTTCTCTTTCTTTCTTTTTTCCTTTCCTGCAGAAAAGATTGAAAGCTGCTGAAGCAGACAGCAAACTAAAACAAGTCTATATCCCTACCTAGTAAGTGTGGTAGGTGGGGGAGGCTGGCGCATTTTCTTTTTCTTCCCCTCTCCCCCAACTCATGCTTTTCTCAGTGATTGGCAGTGGGCAGGAGTCAGGGTCAGAGAGTCAAATGGTGATAGAGACGAGGTGGAAATGGGATTCTCTTCCTTGACCAGTTCCTGGTTTCTCCCCACACTGTTCCCATTAGTACTAAGCCAAATCCTAACCAGATCATCTCTGTGGGCTCGAAACCTGGCATGAATGGCGCTGGATTCCAGAAGGGCCTGACTTGTGAGAGCTGCCACAGTGAGTTCCAGGGAAGGATAGGGATGTTGGGGGTGGGTGAGGTCTTCTCTGGCCCAAGGACCTGAGGGGCTCAGGTGGCGTATTTTTCCCAAGCCTCCTCCCTTCTCTCCACGCTCCTACAGCCACACAGTCTGCTCAGTGGTATGCCTGGGGCCCACCCAACATGCAGTGCCGCCTCTGTGCTTCCTGTTGGATCTACTGGAAGAAGTATGGGGGACTGAAGACCCCGACCCAGCTTGAGGGGGCCGCTCGGGGCACAACAGTAAGGACTGATGGGGAATAGGCAGGGGAGAGCAGTAGGCATATTGATGTGAGCTTTAGATGAAGGCAAGAATACCCAACCCCTTAAATGGTGATGGTTTGGTGATGGTGTGATGTATATGTGGGTGGGGAGGGGGTGCTCGATGATGGTTGGAGAGACAGGTAGGTTGGGATGGCAGTAAAGAGATCAGGCAGGAATAAATGGCTTTTTGCAGAGAATGGAAGAAAGGAGAGCCTCAGTGCCCATCTGGGTTCTCCCTTTTTCCCATGTCTTTCTTGCAGGAGCCACACTCGAGGGGTCATTTGTCTAGACCTGAAGCCCAAAGTCTCTCCCCCTATACGACCAGCGCCAACCGGGCCAAGCTACTGGCTAAGAACAGGCAAACATTCCTGCTCCAGACCACAAAGCTGACCCGTCTGGCCAGACGCATGTGCAGGGACCTGTTACAGCCGAGGAGGGCTGCCCGACGACCCTATGCCCCTATCAATGCCAATGCCATCAAGGCGGAGTGTAAGGGCAGGAGTGGTGGGGCTAGTGGCAGGTCGGGATGCTCTGGCCAGAAAGCAGAGCAGAGACCAGTGTTGCTCAGGATGTTTAATGACAGCAGGGATAGCAGGCCACAGCGCTTGGGTAGGAGAGTAGATGTGTCTCCTGGCCGTAGGAGAGGCCTGAATAGCGAAGCCCCTTCAAGAACCTCCTTCTTTGTCCTCTAGGCTCCATTCGACTTCCTAAGGCTGCGAAGACTCCATTGAAGATTCACCCGCTGGTGCGGCTGCCGCTGGCAACCATCGTCAAAGATCTGGGTAGGGGATGGAACCGGTTAGGTGGTGTCATGTTCTCTGTCGTCCTTTCACTGTCAAAGTCCAAAGAGATTTAGTCTAACAGCCTGTACTTTTGTACGTTAATAACAGTTCTCATAAGCTATCCATAGTGAATGCTAAGGTCACACCCATGTGCTAATTGCTTGCCAGACCCCTCCCCCCATCACTGCTTTTGGGGATGCCCAGGGAAACTACATAGAGAAGAAGAAGCATGAAAGTTCTCTTAAGTTTTCTCTTACATTTTTCATGGCAGTGGCCCAGGCGCCTCTGAAACCAAAAACACCTCGGGGTACCAAGACACCGATCAACAGAAACCAGCTGACCCAGAACCGGGGTCTGGGGGGCATTATGGTGAAACGGGCCTATGAAACTGTGAGTTGACAGCTGGAGTGGGCCAGGCTGATTGGGTGGGCTTTTATTTCTGATTGGAATCTGTGAGTCCTCTCTCATTGTGCTGCCCCCCCCCCCCCCCCAGATGGCAGGAGCAGGGGTTCCCTTCTCTGCCAATGGAAGGCCTCTGGCCTCAGGGATTCGTTCAAGCTCACAGCCAGCAGCCAAGCGTCAGAAACTAAACCCAGCTGATGCCCCCAATCCTGTGGTGTTTGTGGCCACAAAGGATACCAGGTAGGCAGGCCACCATGGGAGGGGCTGAGAGGTTGACAACCCAGATTGGTGGGTAAGGATAATAGTTCTGAGCAAGACCGCTTCCAGCAAGACTGGGTGCAGAATGGGGATGTCAGGAAAGAATGGGCCGGAAGGCAGAACTGGAGTGTGGAATGTGGGGTTTCACCTCGAGAGTCTTCGTTTTTTTATTCCATTCTTCTTTTCCTGGCCAGGGCCCTGCGGAAGGCTCTGACCCATCTGGAAATGCGGCGAGCTGCCCGCCGGCCCAACTTGCCCCTGAAGGTGAAGCCACCACTGATTGCAGTGCGGCCCCCAGTCCCACTGTCTGCACCCGCACATCCTGCCAGCACCAATGAGCCCATTGTCCTCGAGGATTGAGCATCTGTGGGGGAAGGGAGGTGGGCTGAAAGCTAGAGGGTGGGTGCCCAGGGCATCCAACCTCCCTTCCCTCTAGTATCAAAGGGAATGAGGAGTGAGGGAGGGAGGGAGCAAGTGAGTGTGTCTTTGGAGGGGTTGGGCGCCCTCTGGTGTTACCACTTGGAGGCTTGTCCCCTTCGCATGCTTCTCCACACCTGGTGGTGGAGGGCACACTGCAGGAACTTGACCCATTGTGGGAACCTAGCCTGTTTTGGGGGGTAGGACCCACAGTTGTCTTGGACAGTCTTGTGGGGAGGGTTTTTTAATTTTTTAAAAATTTTGCCTCCCTTTGTGAAGGGATGGGGGAGGGGAAGAGTAAATCCATAGGAGGTGGTGGTTGGGGGAGGGGGGCGTGCACTGCCATGACTGCCATGTCTTTTTTTTTCTAATGGGGGTTTCTCTTCCTGTCCGGTGTCCGGACTTTCCTAATTGGAGTATGAAGCCCCTAAGCTGGCATCAACCCCAGCCCATGCTCTCTCTTTTCCTTCCCTCCCTGTGCCCCCTCCGCCTTTTGTACGCCAATTCTCAGAAATAAAGATCTTTTGTCCATTTTTTTAATCTCGGATTCTGTAATTGGTTCTTACAGCAACAAATAAAAAGCTGTTTTCTTCAGCTTCTCCTGGCTCAGCTGTTCTCTGCCATGGGTGTGTGTGTGGGGGGGGGGTGGTAGTGGGGAGAGTGGTCTTAATTGGGAAAATAAAGGACAAAGGATAATAAAGGAGATACAGATGGGACTTGCCCTGGGAACAGCTTTAGGAGATAGGCAGCATGGACAGGCAGCCTGTTCAGCTAGCTTTCTCCGGGGGCCCAAACTGCTCCCCAGATCCCTGTGGTGCTGGAACCCAAGCTCCTCTAGATACATACAGATTCATTCAGAACAGTTGGAATGAGAGGACTCTGGGTGGTTGGTGGCTTCCACAGGAAGGGAGGTGTGAAGGTGCTTTTCCTTTTATTTCCCAACCCTTACTCACCTCTCAGGAAATTCTGGGAGTTGCTAGAGGCCAGGGCAAGATGTAGCCTACCTTGGGGATACTGCAGTCTCTTACCACCCAGCTTTGTGGTATATTTGCACAGATTGCTGCTCAAGGATTCCCAAGACTAGCCTCAGCACCTGCCTTGATATCCAGGCCCATTCTAGAACCGTCTCCTGCTTTCTTGGGTTTGGGAAACGGAAGCCTGAGCAGGGCCCAACAGGAGGAGCACCCTTGAATGTACAGGAAGTTAGGCCTACTATGTGTTCCTTCTGCACTTCCTTACAGATAGGGGAACAGCCTCAGCAGTTGGGACTTGCTTAAGGTTACAGACCTTCAGATGTCTGCCTCAGGTCCAGTGTGCTTTTCACAGTCCAAAGCTGTGGGCCAATAACTACAGCAGGAGCTGCTTAGCCCGTCGGAGAGTTACCTCCATTTCCTGTTCTCTGCCCCTGGGGCCTCCCCGCTCCTTCACTCTCCCCATTCCGAGCTTACACCTGGGCAGTATCGGGAGGAGTTGACCACTATACCAGTCTGGGGAAAGCAGCATTTTCTTCCAACAGTCTTCACTCTGCTGCCACCAAAGTAGGTCCCACCGCATGCCTGGAGTGGGCTGGTGGCTCTAGCGCCTCGTGGCTACACTCCACGCAGCCCACTCTTGCGGAAGGAAAGCCTGACTCACGGGGCCGCAGCGATCTGGTTGTGGCTGAGTGGAGTCTGGGAGGTGCCCAGTGGGGCAGAGCTCCCCAACCAGGGCTGGGAAGTGGTCGCAGAATGGGGGGAGGACCGAGGGCAGAGGAGAGAGTAGCAGCCCTAAGGAACTCGGGAATCCAGGGACAGCCTTGAGCTTCGTGAAGTCGGCTCATCCTCCGCCTTTATTCGCGGGGTAAATACGGGTTTGAGGATGGAGCGCCGCGGGTCCCTATCGCCCCAGAGGGAAGGTACCTACAGCGTCCCTCAACCAACCAGCAGGAGGGAAACAGCCGGTTGACTTCAAAGGGCCCCGGCGCCGGCGTTTGTGGCCGCCTCATGAATATTCATGATCTTTGGGCCAATTAACGCCTGAATGGCTCAGAGCACACCAATCGGCTTACAGCATGCAGATAAGTATCAAAGATGAGCGGCTTCCCCTGAAACTGGTGGAAGAGACTTTAACGCGGGGGTGGAAACGGAACCCTGAGTCCAAGGAGCTCAGTTTCCCGAGGAGTGTGCTTGAGCGATTGGTCGACGTACGTCACTTCCTATCGGGCTGGCGGAAGTTGCTTCCAAGCGCGTTGCGATTTGTAGGCGTGAGTTCCGGTGGTGGCAGAAGTGGTTGTGTGTTGCCGGTACTGGAGAGTCGCGATGGCGGCAGTGGATTCGGATGTCCAGTCGCTGCCCCGTGGGGGTTTCCGCTGCTGCCTCTGCCACGTTACTACAGCCAACCGTAAGCGGTGGCTTGTGAGGGGGTGGTTGTGAGTTCTCGTCTTTGGGTCCTAGCGAAAGTTAGGGTTATAGGTCATAGTTCTTGTCAAGTCGGTTGGTAGGGTCACTCACCTCCGTTTTCACGCCGTCTGTACGAAGGGATTGGAGAGTGGCGCAAGTCCCACCACCTTACCCCCTCCTTCCTGGTATCCGAAATCTCCACAGCGAAAGTTTCTTCCCTCTTTAACGGTCGTCTGTTGGACGCCACCTTTGTGCCTGGTACTCCGCTGGGCTCTCGGGTGGGGTGAGGGGATTCAGAGATGAAGGAACTCACCATCGAGAGGTGGAGACAATTCCAATGCTCAGTAGACCTGTTTGGAGAGCTGTAGGATCACAGAGAAAGTAGTAATTAACTCAGGGAAGCCCTACGGAGGAGCCACCCAAAGGGAGAGGTGTACGAAGGAGCATGGCATGCGTGGCAAGGAGGTGGGTTTGGCAAAGTAGACAGGGTTCTTGTATGACAGCGCAGGGGACATGAAACCTCGAATTCAAGGTTTTTTTTTTTTAAAGGTTTTATTTATTTTTGAGAGGGAGAGCGAGAGAGTGCACAAGGCGGGGCGGGGCGCAGAGGGAGAAGCAGGCTCTGACCCTGATGCGGGACTTGATCCCAGGACCTGAGCGGAAGGCAGACGCTTAACCGACTCAGCCACTCAGGTGGACTCAAATTCCACTTCTGAAGTCTGGAATCGTGATCTTCCCTAAACTGGAATCATGATCTTCCCTAAACTGGAATCACTAACTTCCCTAAACAGAATCTTCTGTTCTTTTTCTTTGTGAATGGCACTATCACTATTTGTCCTGTAGGGCAAGCCAAAAATCCAGCATAGTCTTCCCTGGCCCATCATATACATTGGTGACAACAAACAGCTGACCCAGAATTTAATAAAAATAATAATTGTTAACTTTTCCCATGTTCAACATGTACCAGACTGCCAGGTACTCTATATTGCATAATAACCATGTGGCAAGTACTATTAATATCTTAATTTTGTGTCCTACGAAACATGCACAGAGAGGTTAAGTAACTTGCCCAAGATCTCGCACAGTTTGCCAGACCCGGGATTTAAACTTGGGCAGTGTGACCTCAAATCTTGCACTTGCAATCTCTGTACCATACCTAGAGACCATCCTTGAGGGAATAGTCTAGGGTCCTGCTTTATTTAGTTCTTCTGTATATGACCTGGATAAGTTTCCTGTTAATTTGTTTTATAATTTGCAGGTGTTGCTCTACCTAGCACTTAGAGATGGTTTAAGAAAAACTTGTAGCTAGTTCTCCTGGGAACCACTTAGAATACTTTATATAGACACATGGACAAGAGAGGAAGGTGAAAAGAGCCAGGACTTTGTATATTCAAAGGTCACACTTCCTGTGGCTTGGGAGGATTAGTAGGATTTAGGAGTGCATTTAGGTAAAGTCAGGGGGTAAGTACACTGAAGAGTGATTTGGATGTTTTTTGTCTTACGTTTGTCTTTGCAGGACCCAGCCTAGATGCCCACTTGGGGGGCCGGAAGCACCGGCACCTGGTAGAACTACGAGCTGCCCGAAAGGCCCAGGGACTTCGAAGTGTGTTTGTCAGTGGCTTTCCCCGGGATGTGGATTCTGCTCAGCTCACTCAGTACTTCCAGGCATTTGGACCCGTGGCCAGTGTCGTCATGGACAAGGACAAGGTAGAGTGAATGGCTCTTGGGGTAAAGGATGAGTCAGGTGTGCCACATACAAAACAAAATGAGAGAGAAACCAGCAGCCCTGTTTCAGCTGGTGCCTTCTGTGGCTTGTTCCTTGATGGACACCACAATACTTGGGCCAGTCCACCTTTGTGAGCCTTCCCGAACCGCAACCCCCCCCTCCCAACTCTCCCACCTCCCCGGCCCCTGCTTGGATTTTATCAGTTCACTAGAGTTAGTCATTGGGGGACTTGTTGGTCATTAATTTAGTCAGTCAGTCTTCATTTTAGTTGCCAAATATTAGCTGTTGACTTTGTACTAGGCACTGTGTGTAGAGCTGCATTTTTTTAAAAAAGATTTATTTATTTGAGAGGGAGAGAGAATCTCAAGCAGACTCCACGCTGAGCGTGGAGCCTGACATGGAGCTCGATCTCAAGACCCTGAGATCACGACCTGAGCTGAAACCAAGAGTCTGATGCTTCACTGACTGTGCCACCCAGGTGCGTCAGAGCTGCATTTTCAATAGTGAATAGGATAGATGTGGCCCGTGCAGGCACAGAGCTTATAGTCTAGTGAATAAAGTGGACAATTAAATGAGTAATTACAATGAAGTAGGTGCTTTAAGACCACACCATCGGCAGATCTATCCTAACCCCACAAGAGACTGGTTGATAAACCAGCTAGCAGTTTATTAACTTACAGTGAGAGGTACTGAAATTAACTGGTCAAAATACCCTGTCTTCTAGACAAATAAGCTTGTTCTTTGTGGTCCTTTTTGTCTTCCAGGCAGGGCTTTTGTCAGTTTCTCTTTAGTCCTTTGAAAAAAGTTCACTGTTGTACTGCTGTGTTGTATCGTCATATCACAGTTCTGAGATTGTGCTCTGGTTGTGTAGGCGTGGCTTAGGTGATCCCAAATGGCTTTGGCAGCCCGTCTCTTCTCTTAGGCTGGGCTGGGGTGTTTTTCTTAGAGATCACATTCAGCAACTGACTCACAGAGGCTTTAACAAAAGGGGCTTAATTGTTCTCTTTAACAAGAAGTCCAGACCTGGGCACTTCAGCCCTTTACTGTTTTCCTGCTCTGTCATTGGCACGTAGCTCTCCCTTCCTAGTTGTGATAATGCTGTTTGCACATCTTCGGGTAAGAGGAGGGGGCAGGCTGAGGGACAGAGTATAAAAGTAGTGCCAGCTGAGTCTGACTCTCCTCTCTTCCCCTGCTTTTCTTTATTTTCCAGGAAAATGTCTTTCCCAGGGGCCTCTTCGTTAGACTTCTCATTGGCCTGAATTCTATCACATGGTTACCCCTAGCTGTAGGCGAGCCTGGGAAATGAAGTTTTTTAGCTGGACACCTTGCCCTTCTGAACAATTGGGATTCTGTTAGTAAGAAAGAAAAGGAGAATGTATATTGGGAGGGCAGTTGGCAGTGTCTGCCCCAGATTCCTTTTTCAGAAAACTCAGTATCTCTGTTTTTGTTCAGATTTGTTTCAGTTGTAGAGAATGACCTTTTTTCTGAACTTAACCTCACGTTTCTGAGGCTTCTAATTATTTTGACAGTAATGACTAAAGTTTTTATTGAGCAATTATCACGCCCTAATCATGTGCTAAATGGTTTACATACAGTATCTCATTTCATTTCCACAACATTTCCTCGAGGGACAGCATCACTGGGAAGTTGGAGATTTGGGGGATTAAGCCTTTACTTGGAGGCAGTCACAAGTTATTTAACTTCTCTCAGTTTTAGTTTCTTGAGAGAATTGTGCACTCAAAGACAAGGCCAGGCAAAGAGACACCTAATTTCTAGCTGGGGCTTTGATTGCATACTTGGGTTTGAACTGCAGTCTGGTGAGTAGTATGATTCCTCAGAGTCAGAAGATTGGCCTGGGCAGGTCCAAGTGGCTGCCTTTCTCCTTGGTTTCACTGTGGTTCTTTGCCGTGTTTGGCGTGGGTGGAAGTGAGGGTAGGAAGGGTACACCCCCCCAACCCCCCGCCGCCGCTTGTATTTTTGATTGAGGTGTGACTTACACAGCATAAAATTCATACTTTTAAAGTATACAATTCAGGGGTTGTTAGTATATTTACAAGGTTCTGCACCCATCCTTCCAGAATGTTTTATCACTCCTCATGTGTGATTCAAGCCTGCGTGCTGTGCTGGTGAGGCTGCTCCTCTCTATATCCCCCACCCCCCACTTCATTAATTTTTTTATGTGATGTAAGGTAGGGGTCCAATATTATTCTTTTTTAAAGATTTTTATTTATTTATTTAACAGAGGGAGAGAGCACAAGTAGGCAGAGCGGCAGACAGAGGGAGAGGGAGAAGCAGGCTCTCTGCCGAGCAGGGAGCCCAATTTGGGGCTCGATCCCAGGACCCTGGGATCATGACCTGAGCCGAAGGCAGCTGCTTAACCAACTGAGCCACCCAGGCGCCCCCAATATTATTCTTTTATATGTGGCTATCCAGTTGTCCCAGCACCATGTGTTGGGAAGGCTATTCTTTCCTCATTGAGTGGTCTTGACAACTTTAGTGAAAATCAGTTGACTATAGAGGTATGGGTTTAATTTCTGGAGTCTTTGTTTCATTTCCTTCATCTGAATAACTGTCTTTGTGCCAGTGCCACCCTTTTTTCTTTTCCTTTTTTTTCTTTTCTTTTATTTATTTGAGAGAGAGAGAGTGAGAGACAGAGAGCATGAGAGGGAGGAGGGTCAGAGGGAGAAGCAGACTCCCCGCCGAGCAGGGAGCCCGACGCGGGACTCGATCCCGGGACTCCAGGATCATGACCTGAGCCGAAGGCAGTCGCCCAACCAACTGAGCCACCCAGGCACCCTCTTTTCCTTTTTTTTTAAGTAACCTGTACCTCCGACGTGGGGCTCGAACTCAAGACCCCGAGATCAAGAGACGCAGGCTCCAGGGACTGAGCCAGCTAGGTGCCCCAGTATCGCACTGTCTTGGTTATTGTCGCATACTTTGTTATAAGCAGGATGAGGCTCTATCTTTACTACTGAAGAGAATGTAAAAGAATATGGACTTTTGCCCCGAGGCAGTCATATTTTTTCCGCTCCTGCTAACATTTTGCCTTAAATATATATATATATCTCCTAGTGAATATTGTGGAACTCAACCAGATCATAGAATCACGCTGTCATGTTGTTGTTATTTCTAGATAGGAAGTCTGTTCAAGGTAGGGTATGTTTATATTTCCACCTAGCACAGTTACATGGATTCTAAATCAATGCTAAAAGGTCTAATTAAGTTAGGAGGGAAAGTTAGGTGATGCATCAGAGTATAAGCGGTGAAATCATGTCATTGGCAAGAGTAGGGGAGAATGGAATAAATAAAATGGGATTTTCAGAGGCAGAATGGGATGAGAGTAAATGTGTGGGATGGGAGTGAGGGAGAGAATTGTTTTTCTAAATATGTTCCCTGTTCCAGAAACACTAAGCAGATATTCCCAATATATAGGGTGGTCCCCATTTCAAAGAATCTCACCCACTGTCAAACCATGTGTTCGGATTTTTTATTCCAAAACCATGATCCCTGCCCCTGTTGTGTTTTGCCAGGGAGTGTTTGCTATCGTGGAGATGGGGGACATCGGGACCCGGGAAGCTGTCTTGTCACAGCCCCAGCACAGCCTGGGAGGACATCGCCTGCGGGTCCGGCCACGGGAGCAGAAAGAGTTCCAGAGCCCAGCCTCCAAATCCCCCAAAGGAGTGGCCCCTGACAGTCACCAGCTGGCCAAAGCACTAGCTGAGGCCCCAGATGTGGGGGCACAAATGGTGAAACTCGTGGGGCTGAGGGAGTTGTCTGAGGCTGAGCGCCAGCTACGGAGCCTCGTGGTGGCCCTGATGCAGGAGGTCTTCACAGAGTTCTTCCCCGGTGAGTCACTTCCCTTAGCATGTTGGAGCCCCCGTCCTCCCTCCCTCCCCTGCCCCCAGTCTGCATTCCCCAGGTCTCCAGCAGCTAGAGGCATTTATTTGGCTATTCTTCCTTCTTTGTGCCCCACTGTGTTTTTCCACCCCATACTCCTCTGTAATGGCCCTCGACCTTTATTTTCTGCTCGACATCCAGGCTGTGTGGTCCATCCTTTTGGCTCTTCCATAAACAGTTTTGATGTCCATGGCTGTGATCTTGACCTCTTCCTGGATCTGGGTGACTTGGAAGAGTCCCAGGTGAGTGACCGGGGAGGCAGCTGGGAAGAGTCAGTGGGGATGGTCATGGGACTCTGGGCAAGCACAGTCTCTCTCATGCCTTAGTTCCTCATTTGTAAAATGTGGATAATGGAACCCGGAAGGGTTATTATAATTGGAGAAATGTGAATGTATTAGATGGGTATTAGATAGGATGAATACGAATTCACACAGGATACATGGCATTGGTAACAGAAAAAAACCAGATTTCAAAATGGTATATATAATATTGTATTTTGGGGAAAAAATATATGAAAGGACATACAATAAAGTAATTTGGGGGTTATGTGTTTACTTATCTGTATTTTCTAACATCTGATGTACAGATTCTGCTTTTGGAATAGGAAAGGGTTGTATTTTTTTAATAGGCTTTGTTTCTTAGAGCAGTTTTAGGTTCACAGCAAAGTTGAGCCAAAAGTACAGCTTTCATATGCTCCCTACTTTACAAAAAGGGTTATTTTTTTTATTATTTATTTATTTTAAAAAAGATTTTATTTATTTATTTGACAGAGAGAAACAGCGAGAGAGGGAATACAAGCAGGGAGAGTGGGAGAGGGAGAAGCAGGCTTCCCGCTGAGCAGGAAGCCCGATGCGGGGCTCGATCCCAGGACCCGGGGATCAGGACCTGAGCCGAAGGCAGACGCTTAACGATTGAGCCACCCAGGCACCCCTACAAAAAGGGTTATTTTAAAGATTTTATTTATTTATTTATTTGAGAGAGAGAGATTGAGCTCGAGTGGAAGGAGTGACAGAGGGAGAGAGAGAGAATCTCAAGACTCCATGCTGAGTGCAGAGCCCAATGTGGGGCTTGATCTCACAACCCTGAGATCATGACCTGAGCAGAAACCAAGAGTCAGACGCTTAACCGACTGAAGCCACCCAGGTGCCCCACAAAAAGGGTTATTTAAAAAATAAATTTGTTTTATCAGTCTTTTTTTTCTTTATCCCTACATATAGACATACATGCGCACACACACTTTATATTTTCAGAATCATTTGAGAGCAGGGTGCATACATGATGCCCATAATAGTCCAGTGTCTATTAGGGAAACACAAAGGCATCCTTGGGTACAGCCACAGTACCGTTAGCAAGGACAGACATGTTACCTGGTGCAGGAGTAAAATGCTATGGGATTTTAGGGGCACCTGGGTGGCTCAGTTGGTTAGGCGACTACCTTCAGCTCAGGTCGTGATCCTGGAGTCCTGGGATCGAGTCCCGCATCGGGCTCCCTGCTCAGCAGGGAGTCTGCTTCTCCCTCTGACCCTCCCCCCTCTCATTCTCTCTCTCAAATAAATAAATAAAAATCTTAAAAAAAAAAGTTACGAGATTTTAGTCCACAGCTCATCCCCTGCATTCATCAGTTGCCCACCAGCAGGCTAGTGTTGGCCCCTCTGTCTCCTTTACAGTTCCTCTGCCTTTTTTTGCCTTTCATGACAGTGACAAAGTTATTTTTAATTTTAAAAAGGGGGTCTGAGGATTAACTAAGTTAATATATATAAAAGCCTTGGAATGGGACCTGGCATATAAGCAGTAATAGATATATCCTGGGGAATGTTGCCCAGATGGGGGACAGCAGGAGAGGTGAATATTCACTGAGCCCATTTCTATCCACAGCCAGCCCCAAAGGCCCCAGAGTCTCCATCTTTGGACTCGGCCCTTGCATCACCACTGGATCCTCAAGCCCTGGCCTGTACCCCGGCTTCCCCCCCAGACTCACAGCCTCCTTCTCCCCAAGAGTCAGAAGCCCTGGATTATGAAACTCCTTCCTCTTCCCTGGCACCCCAGACTCCGGACTCTGCTTTGGCCTCTGAGACCCTTGCCTCTCCCCAGTCCCTGCCTCCAGCCTCACCACTGCAGGAGGACCGAGGAGAGGGGGACCTGGGGAAGGCCCTGGAACTAGCAGAGGCCCTGAGCGGGGAGAAAACAGAGGGGGTAGCCATGCTGGAGTTAGTGGGATCCATTCTTCGGGGCTGTGTCCCTGGAGTGTATCGAGTCCAAACTGTGCCCTCTGCCCGACGCCCTGTGGTCAAGTTTTGCCATCGGCCTTCAGGTCTTCACGGTGACGTCTCCCTCAGTAACCGGTACCTTTGTTTAGGGGGGTGGTTGGGGAAGGCCAGCTGAGCATTCTGGGGTGGGTGAGGAGGGAGCCGTGGTGTAGGAAGCTCCTGTACTTGCTGAACCTCAAGCTTATCCTTGTTGGGTCCCGTCCCTCCTTCTGCCATTTGTCTCCTGTCTGGCATCCATTTTCATGAATGTAAAGTGTGTTGTTCCTTGGAATACTATCTTTAGGGGATTTAGAGAACAGTTCCAGGGTTGAATAAGTTTGGGAAATGCTAAGTTAGATGCAAATCAGTTTCTCCCTTCCCACCCTCTCCCCCACTTCCTCTTTCTGTCTCTTTCTCCCTCCCTCCTTTTTTTTTTTTTTTAAGATGTTATTTATTTATTTGAGAGAGAGAGAATGAGAGACAGCATGAGAGGGAAGAGGGTCAGAGGGAGAAGCAGACCCCCTGCTGAGCAGGGTGCCGATGCGGGACTCGATCCCAGGACTCCAGGATCATGACCTGAGCCGAAGGCAGTTGCTTAACCAACTGAGCCACCCAGGCGCCCTCTCCCTCCCTTCTGGTCTTTGTTTCTTTGCATATGAAAGGCTTTGAGCAGTCTTGTAACAAAACCCTTCTTGAATATCCTATCCAGGATGGGCATATAGGATGTAGTGTGTGTCTACCCCACCCCCCGCCCCCACATGTGACATCCTTTTGCATACCCTTTCTTTGCATGCCTCTTGACATGACTGTCAGCAAACACTTGGGAAGCCCTCTTTTGGCCTCATTCCAGCTGGCCCCCCGTTCTGCAAGCCTGGAACAAGGGCTAGGGTGATAGTTCAGAGGGTTTCCCCAGCACTGACATCCTTGTCTTGGTTCCAGGCTGGCCCTGCATAACTCTCGCTTCCTGAGTCTCTGCTCTGAGCTGGATGGGCGAGTTCGGCCCCTCGTGTACACCCTCCGCTGCTGGGCTCAAGGTCGAGGGCTGTCAGGTGAGAGTGAATCAGGACAGACTTGGGGTTGAGCTGGTGTTGGGGCAAAGGTGGGGGTTCAGGGAGGGGAGGGGAGGCAGGTACAGGAACCAGGGTTGGGAGATCCAACCAGGGTGTTAGATGCACCTCCAATCTAATTGGAATAATTGTTTACCCAGGAAGTGGTCCCCTCCTCAGTAACTACGCCCTGACCTTGCTCGTGGTCTATTTCCTTCAGACCAGGGACCCTCCTGTGTTGCCCACTGTGTCCCAGCTCACCCAGAAAGCAGGTACAGCGGCCTGGCCTCCACCCTCTTTTATCTTGTTAGCTTCCGCTTTCCTCCTTTCTCATTTAGACGCACTGAGCTACCCCAGGAATGAGATCTCTGCTGTCACCCCCAAATCTTCCTGCTTCTGGTCTGACCCTCACCTTTTTTTCTTTCACAGGTGAGGGTGAGCAGGTGGAGGTTGATGGCTGGGACTGTAGTTTCCCCAGGGATGCCTCAAGACTGGAGCCCAGCACCAATAAGGAGCCCCTCAGTGAGTTTGGGGAGCCCGGGAGAGAATTAATAAATGATGTTAATCACAACTGTAGGTTATATCCATCAGTTACCATTTGCCAGGCATGGTTCTCATAGCAACCTCGTGGGAGAGCTAGTATGGTTAATACCATTTCACAGATGAAGAAACCATGCCTTGGAGCAATTAAGTGGCTTGCTCAAGGTTACACTGCTAGCGAGGGGAAGGAGCAGCATCTGGGGGGGAAGCCGGGGTACAGGCAAGGGCTTGAGGATCCTGTGGTGATGCAAGGGCCAAGTCCAAAGATGGGGACTCTGGGGCCTTTGGGGCTGGCTGTGGATAGAAATGGGGGCATGGGGAGAGAGGCTGGGCCTCTTGTTTATGTAGAGATCAGAGGAGTCTGGCTTTTGACACTCTTCTGAGCTACTTGGAAGGGAAAAGAAAGTCCTTCTAAGAGAATGCCTCTAGTGCAGGCCTGTCTCGGTCCCGGCCTCTAAGTAACCCCTTCTGCCTGGTCTTCCTCCTCCTCCAGGTTCTCTGCTAGCCCAGTTCTTCTCCTGCGTCTCTTGTTGGGATCTTCGTGGCTCACTGCTGTCCCTGCGGGAGGGTCAGGCACTGCCTGTGGCAGGGGGCCTGCTCTCTAATCGCTGGGAGGGTCTGCGCCTTGGCCCCATGAATCTCCAGGACCCCTTTGACCTGAGTCACAATGTGGCAGCCAACGTGACCAGCCGGGTAGCTGGGCGGCTACAGAACTGCTGCCGAGCGGCAGCCAGTTACTGCCGGAGCCTCCAGTACCAGCGGCGTTCCTGCCGGGGTCGGGACTGGGGGCTGCTCCCCCTTCTGCAGCCCAGCTCCCCTAGTTCCTTGCTGTCTGCAACACCCATCCCCTTACCCCCTGCTCCCTTCACCCAGCTCACCGCTGCCCTGGCCCAGGTGTTAAGGGAAGCACTGGGGTGCCATATAGAACAGGGAACCAAGAGACTGCGGTCAGACAGAGGGGGACCTGAGGAGTCTCCTCAGGGAGGGACAAGCAAAAGGTTGAAACTAGATGGACAGGAAAAAAGCTGTGAGGAAGGGCAGGAGGAGCAGCAGGGGTGTATCGGGGACCACAGTGAAGACGGGGTGGAGGAAATGGTTGTAGAGGTTGGAGAGACGGTGCAGGACTGGGTGCAGAGCCCCGGGCGGCCAGGGGAGCCACCCCAGACGCCAGGAAAGCAGCTAGCCCCTGGTGAAGAGGTGCAGCCGGGCCCTGCAGCACTGGCAGAGCAGGGGCCCAAAGGACCCGAGGCAGCCCGAGAAGGGTCCCGAGGTGAGACAGGGAAGGGCGTGGGGCTCCCCTCAGTGAGCTGGCGCTGTGCCCTGTGGCACCGAGTGTGGCAGGGGCGGCGGCGGGCCCGGCGACGCTTGCAGCAGCAGACCAAGGGGACACGTGCAGGCGGCGCTGGCACCGCGGAGTGGCTGGCAGTTGAGGCTCAGGTCACCCAGGAGCTGGGAGCACTGAGCAGTGCTGCACAGCGGCCCGAGGCTGAGCCGCTCCTCACCTTTGTGGCATCTGCCTCCCAGGCTGACCAGACTCTCACCGTGACCCCAATCCAGGATTCTCAAGGCCTCTTCCCTGACCTCCATCATTTCTTACAGGTTTTCCTCCCTCAAGCACTTCGGAACCTCCTCGAGTGAAGACAGGGACCCTAAGGGGCAATAAAGCTGCTAGTTTAATGAACACTACAGTTTCCTCTGATTTCCACCTGGTAGTAATTCTTCCACCCAGTACTTGTCCTCCCCAGACCTTACCGCCTCTTCTCAGCCATGCCGTCCTTGGCTACCCTAAAATAGGTCTCAGCCTGTTTCCTTCCTACCGTTTATCACAGCCTGCAGCGAGCGCCTGCAATGGTGTGTGTGTGTCCCTGCACCCCGAGCCCGCTCGGTAGGGTTCCCGAAGGATGGAGGGCCGGCTGGGCGGCTTGGGCAGTACCTGGCAGAAGAACCAAGTTTGCCTCCACATTTACCTTGCCACCGGGATTTATATGGTGATGGCCTGAAATTGGGGTTCAGGCTTCTTCGTCCACTCTCTCACTTAACCGAGTTCTGGTTAAAATGGGGGAAACATTTTCCGACCTAAGCGTGGGTAAAGGGCAGCCCATCATGGGTAAACTGGCAGCGCCTCCAGGGTGACAGGTGGAAGGGATCCGCCATGTGTTCTCCCTCGGCTCTCCCCGGCTGCAGGCTCTGCAGGCTCGGTATCAGGGCCCTTATTGCAGCGAATGCATCGCGGAGCCGTAGGGTGGTTTAATGGGAGGAAACCTCACTCTGGGAGGGTTTCTGACTTGGGCTCTGGTTAGATATTCACTCTCTCCTCTAAAAAAACAGAGCGGGAACAAATGGACAAATGGACTTATCCACGCCGGACTTGTTTCCGCTCCTGTGAGTGTCCCACAATCCTGATGTTAGGGGCCTGGCAGGATCTCCGTCAAGTCACCGCGGGTTCCCGAGCTAGAGGGGAACGCCTCTGGGAGCCGGCGCGGCGCGGAGTTGGCAGCTGTGCCACGTCGCAGACAAGGGGAGGTTTTCCAGCTCGTTCTCACAGTTTACCCTCCGCACCTTCAACCTCCACGTCGGGACTCGGATTGGCCATGCCTGGGCTGGAGGCGGGGGGGCGGGGGGGGGGTGCGGGCCAGCCAAGAGCCCCACTGCGCAGGCGCGAGCTTTCAGCCTCGCAGACCAGCAGGCCCCACCCCCTTCTTTTTCCAATTCAGCCGCCGCGGGAGACCGAACTGTCGTGCGTATGCCTTCTGTGCCGTCCTCGCTTTGCGGCTGCTGTTTCTCCACGGCTCTCCCCTTCCCCGCCTTCTCTCCCTGACGGCTTACTTTGCGGCAGCGCCGAGAGCCCCACCCCCTTTCTCTGCGGAATCACCATGGCGGCTGGGGTAAGTTTGCCGGCTCCAGCGATCCAGGTCACCGTATCCGACGCCATCCTCTGCCCGAGTAGGGCCCTCCGGCGTCAGAGGAGTCCTGGAGCCGAGTGGGGAACTGATCCGGGGTGTGGAGACCGTACTGTTGAAGAGCAAGGCTTCCAGGCCCCTGAGGGGAACTGAGGCTGGGACTCTTGGAGGCCAAAGAGGTGGAAGGGTCTGGGGTAGAGGAGAAAAGAGATGTCGGATCCTGGCCGTCTGGGGCCTGAGAAGGGGGTTCGGGTTCATTGCCGCCTCGAGACGTGGGGTCCGGGCAGGTTGACAGAACTTTTGCGACCGTTTTGTGGGGCAACAGCAGGGATGGGGTGGAGAGGAGGGTCTTTGTGGGCAGGTACGGCTGCCTGCGGTTAAGGGTCGTCTGGCGGGGAGGTTTGGGAGTGGGAGGACTCTGCGGACGGTGGAGTCACACCGTGCTGGCCAGGTTAACAGAAGGAGAAGCCAACGCCAGGGAACTCACTGCGGGACAGAACCGGAGGGACGGTACGCGTGACAAGAAGGAGGGGTTCTTTGGGGAGGACGAGTTGATTTAGGAAGAGAAGATGCCATTCGGTTTCTCCGCGGCTCTTCTGAGGGGAACTTGGAAATGGTGTGAGAGACAAGGGTGATGCTTTGGAAGGGGTGAGCGGCTCCGCAGTGGAGTAGACAGGTACTCGCTCGCTCACCGTCAATGAATGAAGCCAGGGCTCCGGGAAGGGAGGGGTGTGTGTGTGTCGGCAGGTGGAGTCTGAGGGAACTACCGGTTCTGGGTTTCTCGAGGATGTATTTGAGATGAGAATGCTTCTAGGGCTGTCCTCAGGGAGGGTCAAGCCTGTCAACAAGCTTTATTTAGCAGTTGGTGTGTAGTTCTGTCTCCGGTATTTCAGAGGACTCTGATTACACATGACCACAGTACTAGAGAGCTTGGTTCACCAGGGGGAGTAAAAGTGAGTTGAACAGATTGGGAGTAACTCAGGGAATTTATCCTGGGAGGTGACATTTAGGACTGGGATCTTTTTACTCATTAATATTCCCTCCCCCCTTTCTCCCATAGACCCTGTACACATACCCTGAAAACTGGAGGGCCTTCAAGGCTCTCATTGCTGCTCAGTACAGCGGGGCTCAGGTCCGCGTGCTCTCCGCACCACCCCACTTCCACTTTGGCCAAACCAACCGCACCCCTGAATTTCTCCGTAAATTTCCTGCCGGCAAGGTAAGTAGGAAAGTGAAGAGGGGTCTTAGGTCCTGAGAACTCAAGGAGCCCTGAGACTGTCTCACTCTGAAGATGGTCTCCATCTTTGAAAGGGAGCTTTCCATGTAACCTTTTTTTTCCTTTGCATTTCAGTGATTTAAAATTCTTTTTAGGGTGCCTGGGTGGCTCAGTCGTTAAGCGTCTGCCTTCGGCTCAGGTCATGATCCCAGGGTCCTGGGATCGAGCCCCGCATCGGGCTTCCTGCTCGGCGGGAAGCCTGCTTCTCCCTCTCCCACTCCCCGTGCTTGTGTTCCTTCTCTCGCTGTATCTCTCTCTGTCAAATAAATAAATAAAATCTTTAAAAAAAAAAAAAAAAAAAAAAAAAAAAAAAATAAAATTCTTTTTATTTTGAGATGAATGTAGATTTACATGTAGTTAGAAATAATGCAGAGCTGTCCAGTGAGTTGTTACAAAATTCACAGGTTTCTTTGTATTTGTGGGAGAGAGTGAGTTTTGATGGTTTTCAGTGCAAATGTATCAAGTATCTGCCATGAGCCAGCCAAGGGGCTTATAGAGATCGATAAATAACCAAGCTAAACAGAGAAGAGAGAAATGCAGTGTGGGGAGCCATACTTTAAAGAATGTGGACAGAGATATGACACTTGGTTTTTGATCTTTTGCCTGTTTGATTGAGGGATTTTTATATGAACATTTAAAAATATGTTAATCTTTGGGGTTTCTTATGTGAGTTTAGATTGTAAGGGAAAACAAATATTTCTCATTCCTGGGTTACGGGTAGTACCAGTAGTTTGTATCAATAGTTGGCTGAGTAAGGGTTGTCAGCCTTATGTGAGAATTTTTATCCAAAATGATTTCACTTCCTGGGATTGGCTAGTGAGAACTTACTGTGTATTTCACGTATTTTTCTGAATTTTACTTATCTTTTGACTTTTGTCCCAGGTTCCAGCATTTGAGGGTGACGATGGATTCTGTGTGTTCGAGAGCAATGCCATTGCGTACTATGGTAATTTGCAGTGGGTGTGGGAATGGGAAGATCTGGAATGAAGGAGGTAGGAGAGGATGAGGGTGAGCTGGAGTGGACAGGAGAGGAATTTGCATGGACTTGGATTGATGTTGGCATGACCCCAAAGTTCTGACCTTTGTGTTCTGCCTCTGCAGTGAGCAATGAGGAGCTGCGGGGAAGCACTCCAGAGGCAGCAGCCCAGGTGGTGCAGTGGGTGAGCTTCGCTGATAGCGACATAGTGCCCCCAGCCAGTACCTGGGTGTTCCCCACCTTGGGCATCATGCACCACAATAAGCAGGTAAGCCTTGGAACTGGGGGCGAAGCCAAGGGCAGGGATGGCATCAGCTCCTGAGCGTCAGGAAGTGAGAAATAAAATAGATTGAGAGAAGGGGATGCTAAGAATATGTGGATAATAAAAGACCTCATCATTGGGGTGTGAATTTGGGTTGCAGTTGGTGATATCTGGGTTCTTTGTCACACAGACCCAATGGAAGTGGTGCCTTTTGTGAGTGGTCAGAGGAGAGATTTCTGCTGTAGAAAAGCTATACCAAATGGTAGGGGGGTGGTTAAACGACTTCTAAGGTTCCTTCTAAAATCCAGAGGTAAGGGAGTAGGTCAGTATAGTGGGAAATTAATCCAGACTGCACCACGAAGAAATTTGACATGGAGAGCTTCATTTGTGATACATTTGGAGTGATCCTAGGATCTGACTCCATTGAAAGAGGATGGGGATGAGCCAGGATTTAGTAAATGAAATAGCTACCTTTGTCCTGTCATTGGGGAAGGGGAGCAGGGAAAGGGATGGGTACCCACTATTAAGTTTTTGATCATATTAAATCAATAGGCCACAGAGAATGCAAAGGAGGAAGTGAGGCGAATTTTGGGGCTACTGGATGCTCACTTGAAGACGAGGACTTTCCTGGTGGGCGAACGTGTGACACTGGCTGACATCACAGTTGTCTGCACCCTGTTGTGGCTCTATAAACAGGTGACGTTTATAAAGAATCAGGTTGGCAGAGGGTGGGGGCGGTTAGAAACGACGTGATGAGTCTTCCAGGTTACCCTGTATTCTGCCGAGGACTTGGATATGAGAGAGTGTCCGGTAACAGCTGGTCTCTAGGGATCCCAAGTGTGAGCGACTGCTTTCTCTCCTCTGAGAAGTTTGGTAACGTTGTTTCCTAAGGTTCTGTTTGGCAGCGAAGATGTTTAGTTTGTTTCCGTATTTTTTGGGAAGTCCAGCTATGCTTGTGGTTAGTTGTAAAGACGGAGGTAGGGCTGGTAGCTTCAGTATCAAGATGTTCCGGAGGCAGGCTAGGTTCAGTTCTTGGCTTCATTACTTACGAGTTGTAGGTAGAGGGGGGTGTGTGTGTTTGAGAGAGGGAGAAGGAATTCCTTTAGTTCTTTTTCTCCTCTGTAAGCTGTAAAACCGGCGAGGTAATAATTAGTCTTGAGGTTACTAGGTCAAAGAAGATGACATGTTGCAGAGCAGCAGCTCTTTTTTAAAGTTTTTTTTTTTTTAAGATTTATTTATTTGAGAGAGCGAGAATGAGAGAGAG